TGAAAAAAAAGGATCAATAGATACTCAAATAAATGAATAAATAATTTATTTTTGTATTTATTTATTTGTTTATTTATTTACTTATTTGTTTAATAACAATTATTTTACGTGTGACAACGATTTTAATTTTACATTTTTTATATATAAATTTTGTTCCTGCTACCAACCACCCTTACTTCTAAGTTTTCTTTCTCTAAGTTTTGTTTATGTGATAACTATGTATGAACAATACTGAGCTGCTTATGTCACATTTGAACTTATGACCAATAGTACCTCTCATTGCATGGCTATTATTTCTATTTCTATATTGCTTACTTACTGCTATTATTACTATTTTTTATTGTGATCGCCTATTATCGTCATGCTTTTTTTCTTATTATTATTTATGTTTTAGTTGATGATTAATATTTCTATTATAATTGCCACTAAACATTTGTTATTTTGTTTAAATTAATTAGTATGGGACCATAATTATCTAACGGTAGTGTACCTATAAATGATTCTGCCTGCTTATGCTTGCATGTAATTAATTAGTGGCTTCAAGTGTTTAGCTATCCTATATATATATATATATATATATATTTGTGTGTGTGTGTATGTGTGTGTGTATATGTGTGTGTGCATCTTATGTATCCTACCTAGCTCTACTATTTCTGTGTTTGTTGTTTTGACTGAATCATTTATTTCTTGGCAGTATTCATGCATTTACACACACACGCACACATGCGCGTGTGTGCGTGCGTGCCGTTCACAGTCATTCACATACATTCATACATACATTATCAGTTTTACATTAATCAATTGTCCCTATTCAACGTTTTGGTATTAATTGCTTCCATTTATTGTCAGTTTGAAAAATCACTCATTATTTTAATTAGTTTGGGTGTGAGAGTTATCTTACATTGGTCGTGTATGATGACATGAGAACTGACTGGATAGTCTTAAAATGTACAATGAACAATTTGCCATATAAAAATCATTCATCACAGCTGCACTGATTACTGTATATCATGATATACTGATGTTGTTGCTAGCCAAATATAAAATTTACTTGAATGTTTTGTAGTATGTTTACGTATTTGTGTGTGTGTGTGTGTGTGTGTGTGTGTGTGTGTGTGTGTGTGTGTGTGTGTATGTGTTCGTATGTGTGTGTATGTGTGTGCATATTGGAACACACTGCTATATTTAGTAAAGTTAATAATGTTCTTGTTTAAATGTAAATCTAGAATAAAATTGATCATAACATTGGCATTCTATAGCTGATGTTATTTTACACCTTCTTCCATCTGCTAATTGTATCTAACAGTTTCGTCGTCTTATTAACAATAACATTTTTTATCTTCTTAGCTTCAAACTCTTTCCAATTTTAACCTACATGCATTCTTCCTTATAAAAATATTTTTATTTTTATAGCTTCATATCATTATCCGCCAATCATCATTTAGCTTTATTTTGGCTATCCCTTTTCAAGTTCCTATGCAATTTGTTAACATCACAAACCTTAGCCCTATAAGTTGATATTTATAGATACATAGATATAAATATCTAATGTAGATACATAGATACAAATGTCTATTGTAGATATATAGATATGAATATCTAACCTAGATATATAGATGTAAAATATATTGACAGAAAAATATATAATTTAGATATGCTACTAACATAAATGCTCTACTTATTTCTCCCTATTTTTATTATATTTTATTTCAACTGATAATTTTTAATAAAAGCTTTAACCTTAGTTGTAACTCTGTAAAAATAACTTTAATGAAACATATAATTAATGAATTTATTTGATGGTTCAATCAAATTGTAATTCCTGATACATTCTTTTGTAATTTAATAAATTTTTACACTCTAAGCCCTATAATAGCTATCTTCTAAGTTATTTTCTCAAAGATATCATCACAATGATATCCTCTCAGGTACGTTTACGCAAACGTTGCAGATATAATTAGCTATTCCAACCAATACGTAATAGATACTAGGTACTAGGCACTTTACAGATTCGGAATGAAACATTCATTGGTCAGATATTTTGAGCACATGTTCTTTACCGACACATTAAGATAAAACTAATTGCCCATTCATCCATCCAATGCAATCAGCCAATGACACATTGATGTGAGACAACTGCTGTTGTTGTTATTTAAATTTTGGCCAGGCAATTATTTCAGTTTCTGTGAGGTTCCATACTCTTTGATAGTGATTTTCGTAACAATTTCTAGCCGGCACATATTTAAATGCTACATATGGATGTTCATTAACTTGTTTGCATCTGCCTGCCTACTCACTCACTCACTCACTCAATCACACACACACCCACACACACACACAAGCACACACACTAAATTCATTCGCGCTCGCGCACACAAACACACGTAATTACACGTACATATACGCTTAACGCACGTACACAGTGCTACATCGACAATGTCGTCAAAGCAGTTGGAGACGTTGAAGCGTAGTGCCAGCACTGGACGCCTGTCCAAACGCTGGCTTCTCAGGTCCAGTAAAGGGTTCTTCAAGAAGATGTTAAGTGAAGATAGGTGCGTTTGTGGGTGTCTGCTCTTCTCTCTGTGTATGTGTGTGTGTATATTTCTGTGTGTGTGTTTCTGTGTGTGTGTGTTTTTATACAATACATCTTAATCATCAATATTGTCAGCAACAATAAAATTTAAAAACAATATATAATTAGATTAGTGAAATATTTATCCGTGCATATATATTTTCAGTGTGTGTGTTTGTCTGTTTTTTTGTGTCAGTGTGACTATTTATAAACAATACAGATGTATGTGTGTGTCTGTGTGTGTGTGTTTGTGTGATTATTCACTTTAGTGAGTGTGCATACGTTACAGTGAAAAGGATTCCTGATGTGATATACTACTAACTTTATAACACTCCAAATTGTTCATGCCGGTGATGGTGATGATGATGACGATGATGGTGGTGATGTTGATGACGATGTTGGTGATGTTAAAGTTCTGATGAAAAAAGTGAATAAGGTTATGAAGGAGAAGGCGCAGATGATAATGATGATGATGATGACCTGTAAGATGTATGTGTATGTCTATGCATGCATATGCATTCCAGAACAAAATGACTAATGCTGATATTATATCAATGAATAGATAAACTTTTTAATAAAGAAACTCTTTCTAATTTTTCTTCCTATTGCTTTTTTCTCTTCTCTCTCTCTCTCTCTCTCTCTCTCTCTCTCTCTCTCTCTCTCTCTCTCTCTCTTTCTTTTTATCTTTATTTTTCTTTCTCTTTTTATTTGCTGTATGATTGAGTTGAAGCAGTGAATATCATGTAACTGGGGTTTCAAGTGCTGACTGAAAGATGTATACATTATTTATTGAGAAATATATCTGCCTTTTCAGCTTTTATTTGTTTCTAGTTTAGTTTTATTGTATTTCGTACATTATTTCTGTCCTTGTCCTACAAATTGTTTGACTAGAATAAATTGTTGTGGAATACGTTTCTGTACATTTTTGTTATCTTATGCAGAGGGAGTTTTTTTCGATTGTCATTTTCAATGTATCATGTTTTTGTTTGTTTGGTTGGTTCATTAATGTTATAAACGACGACGAGATAAAAATAGAGTAACTAAATCATAAACAAACCAAAACTGCTGAAATGGCAATAATTTATATGCGCGCGTGTTCTTGTTCGTATTTTCATGCTTATGCTGTATTGGTTTGTACTCCTCTGTATGTGTTTGTTTATAACATGTTTTATTTACCGTGATGACCTTTTTACATGATGTTGCGTATGTATGTGTACTTTAGCGAAGACACGGATGAGTGCACACCAATAGGCATACGCGAGCGTACAACGCGGCTGTATGTACAGAGGATAACTTAAACGCCATAGGTGATGCACTGTTATGTGCTGCTCTTTCTCTATGTAGTTGTACATGCTTGGTATTTTTACGTTCGGTCTTTGTGTGTAATGTAATACATATTGCCCTGTCCGTGCGCTTGTAACATTAATAATGAGTGTATGAATATGTTTGTGTTTGTGCCTGTAGTATTGACTGATGTTTTGTATGTAGGTTTGTGTTTTCTGCGTGAACATAGCATTTTAAGATTTTATTATTATGTGTACGTTTACATTTGGCATGTTTTTGTATGGTTACATTCTTGTATGCCTTCATTTACGCCAACATATTTACCTACATATATTTATACCACACACACACACACACACACACACACACACACGACTGACTTCATAGTGATGGAATGAGGATTGAATGAATATGTGGCATGTTTTCCTCATGTAAACCATCAAAATGATGATGATGATGGTGCTAATGATGATGGTGATGGTGATGATTGTGATGACTATGAATAATACACAATTTTGAAAAGATTAGGATGATGATGATGATGGCTGTGATGGTGATGTTGATGTTTTGATTCATAGTGAAAACAGATAGTATTGTACCAAGGATACCATACTTTTGTTGCTAGCTAGCGATAGTGTTGAGTAATGACAACCGTGGTTAAAACACATTGATGGTGAAGAAGAAGAAAATGATGATGATGAGCATGACGATGACGATGACAAATGAGAATATTCATTTTCAACTCTACACCTACCTTCACGTTTTGCTCTTTTGGATCTGTGTGACCTAATTTTCTTCTCTTACTTTTCTTTCATTCTGTTTTTTGCCAGATTAATTTTCGTTACTTATTCGTTACTTATTTGCATGGTTCATTTAATTTATTCGCTTCAGTATTATTTTCTCTTGACACTATTAATTATTAATAATTTCTTTTATAATTAATTTTTTTAAACAAAATAATGAACAAACAAAATGTCTGTAAATTAAGTTGTTTTTCTAGTAGCAATATATTCAAAAACGATTACTAATTTGTGAGTTATTGATGTACATATGAATACACACACACACACACACACACACACACACACACACACACATGACACAAACATTCACGTGCAGTGAGAGGTCATCAGGCTGCATGCGAATGTCGCACTCCCACGAAGCACTCCTCTCCACTTCCTCCATATCTCACGACTTCTTCGATCTGTCCATACCTGGCTTGTGCGTCTACCCGATCCATCCGAGCATCGTTGCGGACAAGCCATGCTTCGTCATTCGAATACCGAAACTGCGCCAGCAGCAGGAGCTTCAAAACGACAATGCAGTCGCTGCTGAATCTTCATCCACTGCTCTTCAGCAACATCAACTCTATCACCACCACCATCATAATAAACGTGATTCCAGCTCCAGTAGAAATCAAAAACTTCAATCTCAGCAGCAGCAACATGTGATAACGACAACGTTGGGTGAAGATTCTTGCATGTTTGTAACTTCAAATGCTGGCTACAATTTCAAATACTTCAGATGTGATAGTGAGGACTCCATGCACAAGTGGATTTCAAGGTCCGGTGGTTGGTTGGTTGGATAATTGATTGATTGGTTGGTTGATTGGTTGGTTGGTTGGCTGGTTGGTTGGTTAATTGGCTGGTTAATTGGTTGGTTAATTGGTCGGTTAATTGGTTGGTTAATTGGTTGGTTGTTGGTTGTTTCAAAGATTGATCGGTGGGTCAGTTCGTTGGTTGGTTGGTTAGATAGTTGATTGGCTAGTTGGTTGGTCAGTCTATTGATTGGTCGGTAGATTGGTTAGTCAGTTGTTTTCACAATTGATTTTAGATTAAAATTTAAAAAGATTATTTGGTCTCGTTTCATACGTTTTAAACGTAAGTAAAAAAACAATTAAATATTCACTATTTTCCAACTGTTCTCTTGCATATATAAATTTACATTCGCAGGCTAAGAGATTGCATCAATGCATGCAGAAACAATACATTCAGAACTGACAACTGCCTGTCCATATCAATTGTTGAGTCCAAGAACCTCTTGCACAAGAAACGGTCAGTCAGTTAACTATATTATCTATTATCATACAATAAATACTTTAATTATATTTTTAATCTTTTGGTTTATTTCTTCACCATTAAAATTATAAAACGACATGAAATAAATGATTGAATGAACATTAGATTGCTTTATTGAATGGACACACCTTATTTTATTCTGATCAGCTTCCCACCATCGTCAATTATATTTTGATGTCTGTCCACCTACTGACGCTGATGATCATCCTTTTGTTTGATGCACATACAATACATCTGTTTAATAATCTATTTGTTTTCTATATGCTGCTAAAGGATAAATATTTATTCCTCTTTATTGTTGTGGGTTCATTCAATGTATTTTACCGCGTTCATACTTCCTCATTGTAATTAATAACTTTTGTGCTGCATCATAACATTCCATCATCAACAACTCTAACCATACAGACACACACATCTTTCAGATGTAATACTACACAACACAAACTAGGTACTACTGCAAGCTGTACTTGGATGACGTTCTCTATGCACGTACCTCTTCCAAGCAGATGCTGGAGCATGTTTTTTGGGGAGAGCAATTTCAATTCTCGTTAGTTTTGAACTGTATTTTGTATGCTGGGACTGGGGTTGGTTTGTTTTGTGGGGGTGGTTTATGTTGCTAGATGTTTAGGGGGGTGTGTTTTAAAGGGTGTCTTCGTTCTGTTGTGGTATGTTTTAGTGAAAGGTATGATTTTAAAAGTAAACTTCGAAGCTTATTTAGAGTTTGCGTTGGTTGTTCGTGTTATTCTTTGGTTTGGATGTCTATAATATTATGCTTAATTACTTGAGGAAAGATATATGAATTGGGTCATGTTTACAGGTGTTATTATTATTTTAATATGATGGAAAATTTTCTTTTGTATGTTGCCTGTCGCCATTCATGTTTGGTGAAGAATGTCTAGATGAGTTTTGTTTTTCTAATTACGTTTTTGTCATTTTCTTACATCTTTCTTCGGTTATTTATTTTGCCGTTATCATTTTTGATGCCATCCTCATTTTCTCCATTGCATTCCTAATGTAATTTCGAATCATTTTTCAATCTTCATTTTTTTTTATCATTATTACCATGTTCGCTACAATGCCTCCACATCCATCGTTGCCACGTCATCACTAACTACCGTATCGCTACTAATGATGACGTCATCACTAACGACAGTGAACTGGCAGATGTGCAGATGATCTCAATACATCTATTCAAAGAAGTGGAGAAGAAACGAAAGCGCGACAAATCATTCCTCATTGGTTAGATTTCGTTCGTCTTAATGACGTCATTGTCACTCATTTTTACCATTCCCTTCATCACCATTTCTATCATTATAATTCATTAATCAGTTATTGAGGTGGCTCAAATATTGAAAAAATCGGACGCGTTGCTATCTTAACAAAGAGTTAAGAGGTAACTTGGTTCAAATACACAATGAATCAAGGCCACCATCTGTTTTATTGCAGAGATCTTTTACCGTTTTGTGAAGCCATGTTCTTCGTCATCGTCGTTGTCAATATGAATGTCTCTTCAATTAACTTAAATTTGTCTTCATTAATATCATAATTGTTATTGTATATTTTATTAATTATTTTATTAACCCTATTTTATAAACATTTTATTAACCCTAACCCTAACCATAATTTTCTACCAGGCTGCATAACCATCTCTGCCGACGTAATAAAAAACAAACCACTGAGTGAAAAGTGGTATGACGTCACATCACCGTCGTCATCATCTTCCTCCTCGTCGTCCAATAAGAGCAGAGTTAAGGTCGAAGGTGTCGGGGTGAGGGTGAAGGGTAGGTATCAGTCGGTTGATATTTTGCCACTGGTCTATTACGACTCACTACTCAGAGTTCGTTACTACTTGTTTATTAATTGTTTATTGGCTAATGATAATTGAAGATATTGAGAATAAATATCTTGACATTAATTTTATTATTGACTTGAAAATAATTTAAAAAATTTGAAGTTAAACTTCATAGCAAGTTAATATTAGCATCATGTTAACATTTTAACATCACATCACCATCACGTCATCATCACGTCACGTGGCCTGCAGTTTCTACAGACTGACTACACATCACTTATTGAGTTACTGGAGCCTGTGATTGGTGTGAAGACGAAGGAGGGTGTGGCTACGAGTTTGGCCTCAACGCTGCACTGTTCTGGGAATGTTGTGGACTTTCTGTGCAACATTGTCATGAATGAAGTTGATAAATTAGGTCTTATAGTCTTTCATATACTTTCAGTTTGCTATTATAATTACTATAATGATATTTTTTGTGGTTTTTGTTACTAGCTATTAATTTTAATATTACTAATTTTGTAGTATTCAGTTTTTTATATTTTTACTAGTTACTCTTCTTACTGTTGTCGTTCGTGGTGAAGAAAACATTCCTCTTTTGTTATCTCTATTTCATCATCCTTTCTTATGCTATTCATTTTTGTTATCTTCGGAATTTTTGTTCTGGTGAGTTATTTGTTTATAAATACTAATTAATTTTGAACACCTCCCACGAATGTCAGAGAACAATGCCCTGGCTCTGCGAGGCAACAGCATTGCAACAAAAGCTGTCGAATCGTACATGAAGCTCGTCGGACAGAAGGTTGTTAGCTTGTAGTCAGCTTTCATTAATGCGTTCGTGTTTAGCTGACCGGTTTGCTGGACTTTAATTTTTGAATGGACAGTTTAAAGACTTGATTGATATGAAAACAATCGTTCTCGTCCAAATGGAACGTTGCAGTTAAGTTGAGTTGGAAGGATTAGTTTAAAGTTTTCTTGGTTCGTTGGCTGACTGTTGTATAAATGAATGTATTGTTGGCAGATTAATAACATTGCAGCACCATTGTTTTACAGTACCTGGTGGCGACACTGCGCGATGTCTTGCAAACAGTCATCGAGTCAGGTGTTGATTGCGAGGTGGACAACAACAAGGTGGCCAACCAGACCACCCTCAACACCAACAGATCCAACCTTACTGAGAAGTGCACACTCGTCTGGAACAAGATCATCAACTCGAGGCCTAATTTTCCTAGGTCTGTCTCTTTTTGTTTGACCTCTTTTTGCGTTTGACCCCATGTGTTAATGACTTATGCGTTAAATGACTTTGTTGTCTCATCAATTTGAGTTACTTATTCGTGGTTTTATTTCATCTTATTTCGTTCAGTACTGGTAGTATTTGTTGACGGAATGTTTTCTTTATTAAACATTAGAGAACTGAAGCGCCTCTTCCACATGATCCGTGAATGTTGTCAGAAGAAGGCAGATGGACACAGATCCATGTGCCACCAAATCATCAGCTCCTGCATCTTTCTCAGATTCTTCTGTCCCGCCATTCTGTCGCCAAGTCTTTTCGGCATAGTTCAGGAGTTTCCGTGTGACAGGGGTGTCCGCAATTTGACGCTGATCGCAAAAACTATTCAGAATCTGGCTAACTTGACCTAGTTGGTGACGAGTGTGCTAGGTTGCTTGATGCATTACGCTGTATTAGTCGAATGGCTAGCTTGCTTGTCTATTATGACGATTAGGATCTAGTGGCGCCTTGTTATATTGAAAATTTTCAAAGTAAATTAACATTGAATAAAGATAATTTTGAATGTTTTATGGAGTGTTCAAATGAGCACATGCCACTCACTTCATCATTCCCACTCGTCACACACATCACATCCACCAATACCTGTTTTCAGCTTCGGTGCCAAAGAACTGTTCATGAACTTCATGAATGAATTTGTGTCAGCAGAGATTGAAAATATGGAGAACTATCTGGATGATATTTCGGTTAGATGGTGACGATTGCTATATTAATGATGCTGATGAGGATAAAATGAATGTGATGGTAAAGTTGGGAGGGATGAAATTTTGATTCTAATGATAATTACATTATAGCCATAACAATTAAACGAATGCCGTGAAGAGATAAGTGAATAAATAATTTAGCAGGATTATGAATAGAGGAAGAATATACTTCAAAATGTTTTATCGTTACACTTTAAATATCGTTACACTTTAAATTTACGTCATCGTAAACAAACAAACAATGGACACGTCAGAAATCAGACGACGAGTGTGGCACAGCCTGCTGCAATGTTGGCGCCACACCAACTGTGGTTGTTGATCAGAGCAGGGAACTGGCGCTCCTACATTCTCTTCTCATTGAAGGCTTCAATGATGCCAGCCAGGTAGGCCTCGTTGGTTGGTTGGTTGGTTGGTTGGCTGGCTGGCTGGCTGGCTGGCTGTTTGTTCGATAATTTATGTGTGAAAAGATAGATAGAATACAGGGATGATGAGTTTATTTTTGGAACCGATGGTTGTAGTGATGATGATAGTTATGACAGTGACGATGATAGTTATGATAGTGATGGTGATAGTTATGATAGTGATGGTGATAGTTATGGTAGTGATGAATGCCGTCCCATGCAGAGTAACAAGGATAAGTTCAAAAACTTGAGGGTCATCTTGGAGGAGATAAGTGAAAATTTGAAAGTAGCACCCAGCCTCAAGCAGCAACATCACCAACAACAGCGACAACAGCAACGACAGCATCAGAAATTAACCTCTCACAACTCTTCAGCATTCCTGACTCCATTACAACATCAATCTTCGATATCATCGACGACCACAGTGGCTCCACCCACCACTCCAACAACCGTCGTCATCCCTGCCACTCCTATTTCCTTTGCGCCATCAGTTTTCACCACCGACAGCCACATTCCGACCACCTCCACTTACGTATCCATGATTTCAAAGTCATTATCCTCAACACCTCTAACCACACGTGGCCACGCTGACTGCAGAGTTGTCGATCGCGATGACAAGAGCCTGATTCCTGGCAAGTTGAATGACATCCTGAATGACATCAAGGCGTATTCATTCACAAATAATATCTATAACGTCAGTGGCGCTAGTGTGGGTAACAACATGTTGGACTCTTCAATCAGGGAGTCAGCTGTCAACCAGGACCCAGAAATCATCAATCAGAACTGGCACAAGCTGGTCAAGACTGCCTACATGGCTGAAGGTCATAACAAACCTCCTTTGGTCGATTTTGCATCCAACAGTAACTGTAATGGTGGTGGTGGTGCTGGTAGCAGCAATGCAAATAGCTTCAACAGAGATTTATTAATGATGAGTCCCAGCAACAAATACCTCAGCGATAGCAGCAAATCGCATCAACATTCCAAATTGTTAACTTCATCTTTGAACAGCAACAACAACGAAAACAATAACAACAACAAGCTGCAACAAATTACAACATCTCTTGCATTCAATAATCCATCGTATGGCTACAACAACATGTCATCAATGCAACATCAGCAACAACAACACTATCATCGGCAGCAGCAGCAACAGCAGCCGCAGCAGCACCAATACTACAAAAGACAGTACATCACAAGAAATCCTCATTTTTTACACCAGCAACATCGTCAGCATCTTTATAAACCTGTTGATTACCGGATACTGGGGAGTTATGACAACTTGAGACAAAACTCAGAGGATTGCAGTAGCAGCAACAACAACATATTGAAGCCTAATTATAAAGGATGTGTGGTGGGCAGCAGGAAGAAAAATGCGTCGAACAACGGGAATGCTCCCATAAGATCCAACAGCACGGATTCGCTCCTGAACGAGTTGGTCACATTTTGTTAACTTCCTTATTGTTTGCTGCATCTTTTTGTATTATTTACAATCGAGGTTATTCTCACAACATTGCACTGCTTTATAGCTGTTGAGGTCGACAATGTAGGTATGATTCATTTCTAGCTAATGTTGGGATCGTAAAATATTTTTCTGTGTTTAAATTAAATAAAATCTATTTAGAAACATGCCTAAAAATTGGCAACATGCCTAAAAAATTTGCCCTATCTATAACAAAATTTTAAGCAGCCTTTATAATGCTAATAATTTATTTGATTCAAACTAATTTAAAACCTTCATCATCAGTCAAACAAGGGACTACAGCTACGTTATTTACCCTCGAAAAATCCTGGCCTCACCACTGACTACAAGTGCTACAGCCATCAATCACAACTACATGTCATCCACTCCAACAACTATGCAACACTTGCAACATTTCAGCTACCAAACTCATTCTCAACAACGTCGTCAGCGGCAACAACAACAACGATCACAACAACACGGCCATGCTGAGTTTTCCTACTCAACTCCAGTAACCAGCTGTTCAACTGGTAAGCAATTAAACAGCAACACCTCCACCAACAACAACAACAACAACAACAACGTCAGCAGCAGCAGCAACAACAATTTAGAGATGTTAAAAATGAATCACAGTTACCCTGATATTTATTCAAAAGTTTCAACAAAATCGAGTTATGACAACATTGCTAACACAAATAATAATCATACTGATGATTTTAATAAAAGTCAGAAGAGCAATCCGGTTATACATGATGTTGTCGACTGTGATGGTTATGTTAGTCATGAGGTTTGTTGTTGCTTTTTGCTTCTTTTATTTCAAACTGTTTAGCAATTTTTTCATTTCTCTTAATTCCTTATTTTTCATATATCAATTTATAGTTCCATTTAATCAAGCCAACTTTTGTTTTTCAAATATTTTTCTTCCATTTGAAATGTTGCTTTAGTTTAATTTTCGTGAACATCTCCTGAAAGTCAAAGGAGGCAGCTGTGAGAGGTGTCATGTTCACATCCGGTCCTCCTGATGCTACACCAGCTTCTTCGTCGTCGTCATCATCATCCTCATTCATATCTCCATCGTCGTTCCCATCATCGACCACTCCACGACAGCATAAAACAGTGACGCGCCTGTCTTCTCAGCCACTCTCCACCTCACCAATAAAACTCATGACAACATCATCAGCAACATCAACAACAACATCAACATTTTCTGAACAGCAACAAGCACAACAAACAGATAGCAGCATAAACAGGTCTGTAGAAAGATTTTAGTTGTTGGAGTTGTCATCGTCGTACTTGCGACTTGTTGCTGGCAACATTGGCTGAGGCATTTTAACAACCTTAGAGACATGAGTTTTACGGCAGGTTGAGTTGTAGTGTAGTAGAAAATAACTTACAAACACGCACAAATACACACACGCACAGATACATACATGTGTGTATGCATGCACTGCACAAGCACACATGCACAAGTATTAATGCTAGTACAATTAGGGGTATATGCACCGGTAATGCAGGCATGTTACTGTATTAAACAGCTTCTAGAGATATTTATGTAGATAGGTGATCTGCAAGTTAAGTCTGCTGATGATGACCGGGAATTATCGAGGATTCTTCTCAGAAGAAATTTTTTTAATTGAATTCACTTTTATTTTTGTAAAAAAAATATTATTAAATTAATTTTTTAAATTTTTTCTTTCAAAAAAGAAGTTGGTTGGTCTTTTGATTGATTGATTGATTGTGCATGTTTATATACTGTTTGTAGCTTTTTCACATCAATCATTTATGGCTTTCTTGTTTCATACAAACTAAATCATGTTGTTCACAAAAATCTCCGTCATTCATCTACTTATCAGAATTTAAATCGACAATTAGCAATAATAATTGTGCTGATCGTCATAATTAGTTTTATTATGCCACAACTTTTTGTTCATTTATTTCAATCAAATTTCATTTAAGCTTTGTTATAAAATTTATTAAAGATACGTGCATGCCATTAGGATGATAATTCTTCTAATATGATTATTTTTTAAAATCTAATTATTTTATTTATTTATTACTTTTTAGTTCATTCAATACTAGATATCTATTAAATATTTTCTACTTCTTAGGTAAGTTGTTAGTAATTTAGTATAAAATTTTTAGCTCTCTTTAAGCAAACAAACCTGTTGATGTTGAATGAACATCAAACTAATTTTCTATGCTAATGTCATTTGTTACTGCGGCTCTGACCATCCATCTCTATTCCATATGCAAGTCTGGCAGTTTTTACTGTATCTCACTCATTCTACCTTGGTGCTCGTCTTGTCTTGGTTGTATATTTTTTCTGGATTTGTCTAATACTAAATATTGGTGTCAGTAAAAATATGTTATGTTAATGTTAAAAAGGATTTTTTATTTATTTATATAATATGGATAGGCTTGAAAAATAGATAAGTCACAGCATAATTAGTGAGAATTTTTTGTATGATGCATGTAACATAACGTCTTTGCAGATCAACACACAGTTTGATTTCAAAACAGCAACGACAACAACAACAACAGCAACACCAGTGGTCATCTTTATATGAATACAACAGATCATATTCCAGCGTTAACAAGCCAAACCTCCTAAACAATAATAATAATAATAATAATGACTTTAATAGTAATAATATTAATAATAATTACGATAATTATAACAATAACAATGGTTATAACAATAGCAGTATTGCTAGGAGTAGTAATACTGCTGCTAATAATAATGTTAAAAACATTGAAAATAATGATGGCAATTTTTCAAGTCTTAAAAT